GAATATTATTTCAAATAAAAAACTTCACTGAAATAAGCAAACAGGCAGCATTTGGCTTGGAAGCAAAAGAGGACTCTACTGACGAAGTATGTATGTAGAAGATAAAAAAGGATTTTACTATATTAATACTATTATAAAAAAAGATTTTACCGACGAGTTAATTGAACAACAGCATCTAGAGAAACTAGTGGTGTATGGCATCGTGACTTACGGCAAATTGCTGGAACTTCCCGTACCGTAAAGAAATATTACACGTTTTCAAATAGATTATTATGAATACTGTTATAACATATTTGTTACTCAATCGAATTTAAAATGGAGAACATCGCCTAATATTCATAAGAATTATATTAACCAAAGTGCAAAGCTAAAATTATTTATTTAAGGTATATAAGTGAGCTTTAGAACTTTAGCCAGAATTAAAATTAAAACCTGAAAAAAAAAGTTTTTTTGGAAATTCAAAAAAAAATAGAAAAAAAAGTTTCCAAAAACAATCGTTTTGTCAACAGTCAACAGTCAAACAGAAAGTTATTTGATTCATTCAAATCGGATGCTTAATTCTCCCAAAAACTGCCTTTTTTGACGTTTAGCTCGGTATCTTTCAAAAACTCCATATTTGTTTTCTGTACTCTTAGCGCCATATCTCCGAAACGGTTAGACCTGCCTTTGCTAAAAATTAATCAGTATATCTCCCTATCAATGAGAATCGAATGTTTGAACTAGTTTGAAAGTATAATCTTTTCCGTAATAATAATGGAAAATAGTTTCAGTCGTCGAAAAAAAAAATTTTAAATTATATGGTGAACTCTATATAAGATTCTTACAAATTTTGTTTACAAACAAATATAGGTATGAAAAAAATGTGTATAATTATTTTTTCCTCTTACCCCGGGTCATTTGGGACCTCAGCAGGCGAAACACCACTCAGATCGACCATGGTGCCACTTTCAACCATCTAAAAAAAACTTGAAACCAAACCAAACGAAAAACTCAACACACTTTAGCACGCAATATCGAAATTACTCGCGGAGTATCGGACAGCACTATCGCTACTCTAACGTTACATAACCCCAAATACATATACATACGCACACATCTTTTTTAAATATGCATTTATATTAATAAAATTGTAATGATTAAAATTTAAAGAACATCACGATAATAATAATAATGGTGATAGGTAGAGTAAAAAAAACACATCAGTTTGGGGTTGGTTAAGACGCACTTAACATTTTAGTATTGATTTAAAGTTTTAACTATTTGTTTGAACAAACGGTTGTTCGCGTATAAAATAACAACTAGCACTTCTTTATTCGTTTCGTTTTGTTTCAAATTAATCCACTACAGTTTCCTTTTCCTTTTTAATGTTTTCAATTATCGATTGTGTTTCTCTATTCAGTCGGCGAATTGTAATGCTTTATTTCTACCGTTTTGGCTTGAGGTCGGCTCTATGTTTTTACTATTTGACTAATAATTTTTCGTCGGTTAAGTTGATTAGTTTATTAAATTAAATGAAATTAAATAAAAAAAAGTGACCTATTGTGTTTTTTATTGTGTGTTTTTTTATGATGAATGCGTGCGCTGTTGGTCGCACGCTAAGCACTACTGATGATTTCGTTCGTGCGGCGACACGAACCGATGCCGATGTTACGCGAACGGGCGAACGAGCCAGGATGGAATGGTGTGCGTGCGAATGGTGCTGCACATCACATATCTCTATATACCTGTACTTCTGGACGAAATGTAGAGATAGAACTGAATCACGCTTAATACGATTCTTTGCTTAACACGCTACTTCATCCAATCCAATACACTTTTGATATGTAGAGATGGATAAAAGAAGTGTCTAGTTGTATATATAGGTAATTTGTTCGTCCCTATATATAGGTAATTTGTTCGTCAGTAGAGTCCTTTTTCGCTTTGTCATGCCCAGATATAGTCAGTTTGCAAATGAAATAGAAAAACATTTTTATTGAAAAGATTTTTGGTTCATTTTTATCTCCTTGGTTGGTTGATACATAATTAGTTAGTAGAGTCCGACCTTTTTTCTTCTATTTTGTTATTTAATTTACTAGTTAGTAAAGTTTTTTTTTTATTTTCTGATTATGCTTCCTAATTCACTCGTTAATATAGAGTCCTTTTTTATCTATGATGTTATTCAATTTCCTCGTCCTCTCCTTTTCATCTAAGTTGATATTTAATTTGTTCAAGAGAAAAATCGGCATTGCCTTAGAATGATGACACATATCTAGTGCCGAAATGTGTAAATAAATAATAGTTGTTAATATTTATTAACTTCCGAAAGGAGAAGTTTATGTTTTCGCCATTAAATACGATTTGCTAGTTTTATTTTTTCTTCTCTACGTTCCAAGTCATTTTGAATCGAATGAAACCAAATTTGGAAAATTATGTGTGTTTGTGTAAGATTTTATTTCATTATTCGGATTATATTAATGAGGACCTTGCAAATGATACCCCACATGCCGTAAAAGATACGATATAAAATTTTAAAGTAAAACTTCTTTAGACATCTCTGCTTGAAATGTGTAAAAAGTGCATATTTTGTGGACAAAACACATATTTCATTTTAATATACGCTGTGATAGTTTTACACCTCACACATTTTTTTACAAAAAAAGAACATTAATAACATTATTAAAATATGATGTTTTTATTTCAATTTAATTACCTATTTGTAAAAATCGACTTCCACTCGTCGAGACCTTTTAAATGACAAGCATCAAACCCAACCAACAAGCAATAAAAGTTACAGTACATATTTTATTGAAGTAAAACTTCTTTAGACTCCTCTGTTACAAATTCATTAGAAGTGTTTATTGTAGGTATAATAAATAGCTGAATCTGAAGTTTCATTGTTTATGCGTCTCTAGTCATATACAATTTCTAGAATAATCAATAAATAATTCAATGAATAAATATAATTTAGCAAAGAAACAAATAAAACGTCATTGTAGTGCCATCTAAATGCTATGTGGTTGATCTCAATTTCTCAATTTCTCAATAGGCAACTTCGCGCGCTTTGTCATAATTCAGTTTGAAGTTTGACACATCGTATAGGTTATGTTGCACTTGTAAAAAAAATTCACAACGCTTTTGTAATAGTTAATACAAGAAAATAAATACTTGGTGCTGTAGTGAGTGCTTTAAAATATAACAAGTGTCAATTACGAGTTTTCACTTATTGCAATGGCCGAAAAATTGGAAGATCTCAACCTTCCAAATGCGGCAATTCTGCGTTTGATAAAAGAGGCTCTGCCAGAAGGAGTTAATGTCGGTAAAGACGCCAGAACTGCTTTGGGAAAAGCAGCCTCTGTTTTCGTTTTGTATCTGACAGCAGCCGCTACTAATATTTCCAAAAAGAAGAACAAAAAGACTCTGGGGGGCTCCGATGTACTGGAAGCCTTGGTCAGTATCGAATTTGACAACTTTGTGGAGCCTTTGAAGGAATCTCTAGAAGGTAGTAAGAGGACACATAACCTAACTTTTGTACTTTATAAAATTATTTAAAATCCTAGTAATATTAAGTGTTGCGAGGAGCTGTGTATTATTATTGTTATTATTATTTCTGTTAGCGTTCAGAAATCAACAAAAAGAGAAAAAGGAAACTCAAGCGAAGAGAAAATCAGAGACTCCAAAAGACTCTGAAGATAAAGATGAGGCGGAGGCGGAGGCAGTGGCTTCAGATGATGATGAAGAAATGGCAGAAGCACAGTAGTCACCAGTTGGAATATTCATGAATTGTGATAACTGAGTTTTATATTTTTATAAGGTTTTTTGTTATCGTTTGCAAATTGTAAATAATCACACACTGTGTGTTTAATTGTTAATTCAGTTAGGTTAGGTTAACAGCGTAACTTAAGAAAATGTAGATGTACTTACTTTAATAGAATATAATTTATACTTTTTTTATACATAAATGGATTTTTATTCCTAATTAAAATAAATAATACAATTTCTAATATAAAATACATAAACAAAAATATAAATCATAATATTGATAATAATAATAAAACAATGTCATGTATTTATTTGTATAATTTCAAAGTCAGTTAAGTTAGATTAACAGCGTGACACAAGAAATGTGGAAATACTTACAATTAGTTTTTTTTTTTTTAAATACCAACTTGATAAAATATGTTCGTTTTAACATTCTCTACTTAGAACAAATTTATTTTGAAATAATTAAATCATCCTTTAATTAAAATATAATTTGACATAATATAATTTATGAACATAAACAGAATGTATATGTATTTTTTTATACACATAAATAACTTATAAATATTAACAACAAATAAATATACATGTTCAAAGAATTTAATTAATAACTATTGCAAATTTGTAAATTTTTGAAACAAATATAACAAATTAACAGACTAGTATAAATTTGGAATCAAATAAAACAATTATTTCTGCACAAACTTGCAGAAAAGTATATTTTAAAATATCACACATATCATTTATAACACTCAAAAACCTTCTAAAAACATGTAGATGAAAGTTATTTTAATAAAACTTTTAAACACGTGCACTTGAAAAAGGACACTTATATTTTATCTTTATATATTTGGTTTATAAAATATTGTGTTATATATAATATATATATATATATATCTATATATATATATCATCGCTATTGAAATAAAACTTCAATAACTAACTAGGCTAGAAAGCATTATATATGTATAAATATGTAAAATATAATTATCTATGCAATTTTAAAAGTAAAGTAATGTCTTTTATATATAATGTCAAAAATTTGAAAATTTAAAATGTAATTTCCCGTAAGTTAGTCAATCAAATTGACACACAAATATTTTTGCATTAACACTATATATATATATATATATATATATATATATCTATATATATATATATTCTATATATTTCTTACTATAAGGAAAAAATTTAATTATAGAATACAAATATTATTCAGTGACAAAAAAGCACAATCTATGCCACAACTACGAATTTTCTGGCTAATTCTGCTCGCACATAGGGCAAAGTTGTAATTCCTGAAAAAATAAACAGTGTAATAAAAGTTTTTGTTTGTAAAAAGTATGGAAAGATGAATTGACTCGAAGTGCAGATTTTGTACATAAAATACTTAAAGCAACAGTCGTCAAATTTATCTATAATAGTTATTTTTTGATTCAAATTATATCCTATGATCCATGATTGACTTGATACTAGATTGATTTGAATTAAAAAATGAACTCACCTCGTTTGAAGAACATGAAATACAACAGCACATATGACCACATGGCACAAATATCATTTGGCACTGAAATATAATAAAAAAAAAAATATCTAAATATATATATATATATATATATATATATATTATATTCCTTATTTCTATAACAGACCTCCTGATCCATACAAATAACGCACTCAGAGTTCATTACTGAGGTTTCTGCATTAATTCCATTATCGTTTGTAATAATATTTGAACAACTCGGTGACCCAACAACTGCAGGAGCTGTCGGAGTCTGAACTTCATCTCTGGTGAGTTCTTTAGATTTTGAATACAAATTCCGATCCGTTCCTTGGTTATAAATTCTTATGGCGTTCATTATCGCCTCTTGGGCTTCTTCATCTTTAATACCGGCTTCACGAATATACTCGTATGTTATCTTCATTGTGTCATTTGATACTAAAAAAAAAAAAAAAAACATAATTTTATTATATTAACAACTTGTGATTGATCTTTATCTCACCGATGTCCATGAGGCGTCCAAAATAAGGCAAATAGTTTAATAGCCCTTCAGATAATAAAATTTGCATCAGAGCCACATCCAAATTGGTTTCGCGGAAGCACTCTGGCATCGAATCCATCAATTGTTGGAATCTCATCAACCACAAATCTTCCTTGAAGAATTTTTCTTGCTCTCTGTCGATGTCCTGAATTGTCTTCACCAGCTTTTGTTTGCGCTCATCCCTTTCAGCAAGCAACTCGATTAAATGAGCTGCAAGCTCCATTCTCATTTCGGACAAATCGTTCTGCAAATATTACACACATAAATAAATTACTATTATGATGTATGTTTCTATAGTTCTTTTATTACCAGTGTGCTATCATTTTGCATTTTCCTCTTCTCGAGTTCCAGCTTGGTCAGCTCACTCAATTGGGTCTCGACTAGACGTAGTCTCTGTACCAGGCACCAGCTTTCGCAGTCGTTTCTGTTTGCTAATAATTTTAAAAGGCACTCCCTTTGCATTTGTTCATCCCTTTGCAGAATTTCAATCAGCTCATTCTGTCTCGTGTCCCGTTTGCACAGATGAGAATCTATCATCTTACCTGTCTCTAATTCACTGTAGAAAATTAAATAATTAGAACACTAACCATGTGTAGGTGAAGAGAAGTTTACAACGGACCTTTCTATGACATGATTTTTAACAGTGTCCAATTCACAACTTCTCCTGGAAAATATTTCTATGTCTCCTTGCAGCAACATTTGTTCCATAGAAAGTAAAACGTCTTTTTTTCGTAATTCGTCGTGATTCCTTTCTCTGAAAATCTGCAAAAGCCTTTCCTCTTCTTCATGTTGCAATTGTGAGAATTGTTCATGAAATGATTCGGAATGTTTGATCGCCAGAAGCTGCCTGACGATGTTGTCAGTTCTTATTTCCACTGAGAAAAAAGTTGAAATAACTACGTACGTAAATGTATTAGATAATATTTTAACATTTACCTGCCAGTAGATCATCAACGAACTTTTTTCTATCCTCGTCTTTCAGTTTTTGGAATTTTCGTACCTCCGATTCTAATAGGTCTTGTTGTGCTACCAACTCTTTTAAAAACTGCGAAATGAAAACATATCATCTCCTATTATCTAATATTAATTATATAATGAAATAATACACAAACCTTTTCTTTTTTAATCTTTCAGCCTCTCTAATTTCTAACTCTTGTTTTAAAATTTCTTCATTCTGTTTCTCGTATGCTAAAAAGTCAGCTTGCTTTTGTTCCTGATGAAAATAAATGTTATATATATTTATATATTTATATATATATGTGTGTGTGTGTGTGTGTTTGTGTAAATTCATTTCAATATTCGGATTCATGAATGATACAATCTAAAATTTTTTAAGTAAAACTTCTTTAGACACCTCTGCTACAAATTGGTAAAAAGTGTATATTTTATGGACAAATCACAAGGTTAATTTTTCATTTAAATATAGGTGAAAAGTTTATTCCTTAAATTTCCATTACATACTTTCAATGTTAAATAGCTGCCTCTGGAATACTCATCCTTGTACTCTTTTTTATATAAATCCCCATCAGCTTCATCTTTTCATATATATATTATGCTCTAAAATAAAATCACATTTCATAAATCAATCATAATTCAAATATTTTCAATTTCTTATTTAATACTTACTTTCAGCAAAATATTTCCTTATACAATCGACCCCATTTTCGATTACAGCTTTGGAGGCTCTTTGATTCTATCGCAATCCAAACTAATTACTTTTAAATTTCTACAAATGCATAATTTATAAGGCAATTCTGTTAATTTATCGTTTCCTCGTAGGGAAAGTTCTTGGAGTGTTTGCAAATTTCCCAAATTGTCTGGTAAGTTTTTCAGACAGTTTTCAAATTTATTTGTAAATTAATAATATTGTTAAGTAGATCACATATTGCGTTTGTAAACTTTTAAACGGTTGTTGTTTAAATATAATTCCTAAAAAAAATACCGATTGTATTAATGCAAAAAAAGAATTTGCTAATGTTATGTTTTCTCGTGAGTATGCGTGTGTGTGTGCATTTGTGTATAAACTTATTTCAGTATTCGTATTCTATTGAAAAAGACCTTTGGGGGCATCCATTAATCACGTGAGGTTTTTAGGGGGAGGGGGGTTTGACAAAAAATCACGAAATATCACGTGGGGGAGGGGTATAGTAAGATATCAAATGTATTTATTTTTTAACTGTTTTTTTTTGCAAATCTAACATTTTCAAACATAAATTACTTCATTCAAAAGTTTTACAGTTTTTTCACATAACTAATACACACTATGTAAATTTTTTGAAATTCCTTAAGCTCGTGCACTACAAATTCATTAAAAATGTTTTTTAAATAAGTTTTATAATATATTTTCTCACCCTGAGATTAGTTAGCACATTTATTGACTGCGGCAAAGTAACTAATAAATTTTTGTGTAGATCTAAGATGGTTAATAAGTTTAAATCGTTTATTGATCCTCCGTTGTCTAAACTACTAAGACGATTATTGTGCAGGAGTAGAACTTCTTTGCGAAAGACTTTGCACAAAGTGAATATTCCCTGAGGCACTTGTTTTAAATCGCATTCTGATAAATCAAAGACAGGCTCTGGGTTCTCTCTAGCCTAAAAAATAAATAGATAAATGATATAAGTTTTTTATTACAATATAATCATTTTTTTTGTTGTGAAAATCGTTTTCTACTCGTCGAGACCTTTTAAACGATACCCAACAAGCGAAAAAATAGAATTTAAAATTTTCTGGTCAAACTTCTTTAGACACCTCAGCAATAAATTCGTCAAAACTGTACATTTTGTGGACAAATTGCCTAGTTAATATACACAGAATGACAAAATAGACTATAATAATACTATAGTATATTAAATTATACATTACCAGGTATAATTTATGTTCCAATTTAGCTTTAAGTTCTTTATTTTTCGACGGTGCCATTCCTTTATCGATAGTGCACCCCATTCAATCATTTATAATTTATTTTATTAATATTTTTTTTTATCGACTACATTTTTAAAACTTTTGTTATCTATTATAATAATCACATGACCGTAAATAGTGAATAGAAAAACTTATACACATTATTTATTATGTCTTGTTTGTTTTTACATTTTGACAGTTTGCCATTTGACGTTTAGTTCATAGTGTTGCCAGACGAGAAAATGATGGTAAGGCGGGTAATTTAAACTGTTAAAAAATATGACGGTAGAAAATTAGACTTAAATATTTGAAGAGAAAACGAGAATCTTTGTAATGTGGAAAAAAAGGTAGAAATTGATTTTTGATAAACGCGTATTCTTTCTTCATACAAATAATAATTGATTGCATTTTTAATCATCATCAAATATCCAGATCTGTAATATTTTCAATGAAATTATGATAAAGTAATATAAAAGTTTGAGTTTTATTTTTGCATTGTTTTCTGCACAAACTGCATTATTCGTGGTTCTAGTTAGTTTTGAAATTTTTTACAGACATTCTGATTAACTGATTGTGGTAATTAATAGTTTTAAATATATATTCAGTTGTTAATAATTTTAAAATATGTGTAAGAATATCTATTCCAAGTTAAAATACATAAATCTATGACATTGCTTTATTATCATGATAATGGTAACTATATACATGAAATGAGCGCAAACACTTTATGACAATAACAATCACACATCAAAAACAAGAACAACAACAACAACAAAATTATCCTAAGACGCTTCATCTTTATAAGTTTCTTCTTTCTTCAAGCGCTTTCTGGCTCTGATGTCTTTCATAGTTTGTTCGATAGATCTCACATCCCTTTTATTCTCACTCGGAACTAGAAAGAGAACAACATTTGGTTTATATAAAGTAAAACAAATGAAGAGTCATTTATATTGTTTACCTATTCCATATGTAGTGTTAGCCATGGTGCTCCTCGCTTTCATATCATCGTTGTTAATTAAATGAGCATACTTGTTTCTATAGTTTGAAGCAGGTTCTTGAATAGGTTCTGTTCGTTCCGGGCTTGGTTCTCGTGCTTTTTCTTCACTCTTTGCAGGTAAGGGAAAGTGCTCTGCTTTGTACACTATGATGTGTCGCTCCTCATCTATGCCTTCGCTTTGCGTAGGCAAACCTGCCACTTCACAAACCTCGTGACTAGAAATTAAATATAATTATGAATGAATAATAAGGAATACATATGTATAGTACAGGGCTTACATAATGCTTCTAAAATTTTATCCATGGGTTGGAATTCGTATTTTGTTTTTGTATCATCTTTGAGGAACTGGTTGATTTTTTCTTCGACTTTGATTCTGAATTTGCGAAGGTTTTCTTTTTCTGCATTCTGTCGTTTTTCCAGCTCCAATTTTTGCTCTGGAGAAAAAATAATTGAAATATTAACCCGATTTGTATTGTTTGCATATGCATTTTTCTTACTTTTGATGGCTTCTTTCTGTTTTCACTAATTGATGGTGGTTTATCCATCGAATTTAAAATTGAACCCAACAAATCCATGTTTATTTATAAATTGCTTATTATTTATTCAAATTATCAGTTTAATTGATTTATATTATTATTTTTGACAGTTTACTACACCACGTTTAGGTTAAAAATGGTTATATGAAAAATTTTATTGTAATAATTTAAAAATATTTCTAAATTTATTTTTTTTCGAGTTAAATAATAAACCGCACATAAATTAGTAGTTAATTTGAGCGATAAAGAGTTATAATTGTTAATAAATATTTATTTTTATATTATTTTGACATACACTTGTTAGTAAAACAAAATAACACGAAGTTGCAACTTTGTCTATGGATGACGCTAGTGTCACTTTTAACCGCGATTTTCAAATTTCATTTCTATTTCAGTTTGATTTTTATTTATTAAAAACACATGTAATATATTTATTAACTATTATAAATTGAAAGTAATTTATAATATATTCGTGTTTAATATAACACGTATTTAAATTTTAATTCTCAAAAATACTTCAATATTTATTTTTGCATTTTGTATATATATATATATATATATATATATATATAAACAATTGAATTTCTAGAGTTTTTTGCTTTTGACTTCATTATTGGTGAAATCTCCTACATAATAATAATGATTTTTTTAAATTTTGGAATATATAATTAAGAGTATAAATGCATAATGTTCATCAGTAGTTCCGGAAGAAGAGGACATTCCATGTCCCCGGAACATTGAGTAAAATATACAAAAAATGTAATAAATAATTTTATGACAAAAGGGATGCATTGAAAATGTATCATGCGATTTGCAGGCCAGCTAGTATATATATATATATATATATATATATATATATATATATATATATATACAGACCTATTATTTACATCTGTTTAATTTTACGTTCGAGTATTATTATTATTTCTCCTGCAAGATTTTAACTGCCGCCGTTAAAACTTAAATTTCAAACACTGAGGCGTCGAAACGTAACCGAAAACGAAACGAAACGAAACGTGTGCCCGATTCATTTTACCAATTAAACACGAAGAAGAGGAAATTAAATGGCACTCGACCAGAATGGAGCAGAATGGGATCGTTAAATCTCACAAAACAAAACTGTTGTTTGTATTTCGGGATTATTTTTACGACTTTTCTACGGAACATCGGGTCAAATTATACGTAAAATAGGGGATAGGGGATTGAAATCGATTGGTATTGATTCGACTTATCGTTATAACTATAGTGTCAACTGTTTCGTAATAATTTGTTTCGAATCGCATCTTACTCGATTCGAATCGTATCAAGAACGATAAGCTTCTGATTAGTAATTAACAATGTGTCAATTCGAATCATTCGAATCATAATTTCATTTGTATTAAATTTAATTTGTTTCAAATCAACTCGTCAACCGAATCATGAGAACAAATTTGGAAAATGTATATGTGTGCGTATGTGAGCTGATTTTTTGATAAATATTTAGGTTTATAATATAATTCAATTCAGAAATAAATAAATTCCATTGGAACTGAAACAATTTTCGAAATGAACCGCAAGTGAACTAAATGCCAGATGTTGTTCGGAGTGTTCGACATATTTGTAAATATGTCAATTAGTTTTATTTAAATTTGTAAACTTTTATTATAAATACGCGAGCGTTTCAATATAAATACGAGCGAATTAATAAACTCTAGTAGTTCATGTAATATATAATAATGTTGTGGTTAATATAAACAAATATGTACACTTTATTTATTTATATTTTAGTAGGAAATAAATCGAATCGAAGGATTTAGTTTTTTGTATTGATATATTTTTGTTAGCAACTCATTCGAAATTTATATATATATATATATAAATATATATATATATATATATATATATATATATATGTATGTTATATTTAGTTAGCCTCTACTAGGTTTCACAATGATAGAAACACGATATTTGAAATGTTTTCTTTGGTCGAGTTGAAATAAATCTTCAACACAAAAATTGGCAGAACACTTCAAACGAAAAAAATATCACACAACACCTCTAAATACCAATATACACACTATTACTGTATATATTATACATATATAAAACATTTATAAGTGTATATCGTATTCATATTTAATTCTGTTTTCATTCTCGATACATATGCGTTCCTATTTTTTTGGCAGAAAACCGAAATAAAAGGTTCATTGTACTTTCTTTGGATATTCATCCAAGATATAAAATTTAAAATAGTTTATGTGATAATTTCATAATTATTTAATATTAATCGTACGTCAAAATAAACTCACCTATCTTAAGGCTCATACATTTTTTGTCGATTTGCTAATAACAGAGGTAGATATTTCAAGATATCCTTATTATCTCTTTAAAAACGCAACTTGCCACTAGGCAAATCTCAAACACTTTTTCACGTAAGACATGTCGTTGAAAAGAGCTCGAAGATCCAAATTCGAGTTTAGTATTTACTGTTAATTTTATGTTATGGTATAAGAATTTTTGAATCTCAATTTTATCTAAACTTATACTTAATATTTATTTATATTTTGTGGCTTTCAAGTTTAGACACTTACAATATAATAAAATTAATTCTTACTTATAACTTTCTCTAAATCATAAGATAAAAACCTAAAACTATAGCTAAAAGCTTAGGCCATAGATAAAAAAAATTCAAAACTTTACACGATAAATATTCAAATTTTGAGTTTTTAAAACACCATATATCGCTTAGACTATAACTAATTTAGTTAAACTAAGTTATATATATAATTAAAAAGCTAATTTAATTTCTAAAAATTTTTATATACAATTTTGTAACTTTTGGTACAAAATTTTACACAAAAAATACTTAATCTTGGAATTTTCAACACACCATATTGCATAGACGTGACTATATCTAATTTAGTATATTTGTTTAGTTTTGCGTTAATATGTTTGTAACTTATTACAACTATATAAACTATTATATATAGTTTAAAACATATAAAATTTGCTAAATCCTGCATACTCGATTTGGAAATTTTTTGAACAAAATTTGCACGAAAAATTCTTTAAAATTGAAGTTTCAAAACACCATATTGCTTACATTAGATTTGTTCATTCTAAATCCGGAGCATTTTTTAGTTTTTGTGATAATATATTTTTAACTCGTTCCAAAACATATAAAATAATTTATATAGTTAAAAAGCTTATTAAATTTGCGAAAATCCTACATACTCGGATTTTTAATCCCCAGAACAAATTTTTGCGCAAAAACATAGACTTTTTTAGTACACCGTATTGCTTATAATTAGACTAGACTATAATTTGATCAAGCTGACTTAGTGCATTTGTTTAGTTTTTGTATTAATATGTTTACGACTTATTCCAACACATATCAATTATATATATAGTTAAAATTTCTTTTAAATTTTCTAAAATTCTGCACACTCCATTTTATCTTATGTTCATATTTCATTTTACTAGTGAAACATATGCATGTTTAGAAATATCTTTCGCGAAGAATACTTCACCTTTATTATTCTATAAGAATTTGTATTAATTATACATATATATATATATATAT